ATTGTGGAATAACACTAACTCGATACAGGCATCTGTTCTGCAACTAACAGCCCGACTGACTAACTAGCTTGTTGGGTACAGTCACAGTCAGAGCTCATCTCCTCCCTCGTCTCATCAGCACCGATCAACACTAATCATCCTCCTCCCTCACTCCGCCAGTTACACAAGAAGTCCTTCACACATGGGTACTGTGCTGTGTCATCAAGGTTTAGGAGCAAAACACCGTCCACACAAAATACTCCTCAGAAATGTATCAAAATAATTGTTTTTACACAGTAGTATGGTAAGTAGATTACAACTGTTGCCCCCTCCTTAAATTCAACAATCAAACCAATTAAGAATACAGTTTTTGATTGACAAGTTTTATTTTTTAAGACAAATGAATGGAAAAAATTATGAAAAAACACTACCACAAATAAGTGTTTTTGCTCAGCTAGTTGGGACTTTTCTGCTACGATTAATTTATAAGGCAGATATTTAGTATAATTATATAAAAGCAACACGATTCCTTTAAAAATCCATTAATAACAGTACTGAATTGGCCCAACATTCTTTTCAGACATGCAGACACCACCACAGGCTCCAATCTGTCTTTGAGTGCACAAAAAGGAAACTGGTGACACAGCAGTCTCACAGGGCTGAAGTTCCCACCCTGGGAAAAGGCTGCAGGTTACGGACCTTTTCCACGCAGCGACCAAAGAAACAAGAAGCAAGCAAAGAGACACCGCTGCACTTCACAGCCTCTGAAAGCCCGGCCCTCGAACAAAGGAGGCGGCAGGTCTTTAGCACACATTACCCACGAGAGAGCCCCAGCTGACACCCTTTTAACACGGGGTCACCGCTGCCAGAATGAAGGCCACAACCCCTGGGAGCCCCTGACACCCCTTTGCCTCGACACGCCGCCTCTGCTTTGACCACGACGCTCTGGCGAGCAGTCACTGGCTGGATAAGGGGGCTGGTCGGAAGGGGGAGTGGGCAAGGGTGTTAGGACTCAGCTTGCTGCTTTTACAAAAAAGGTTGACAAGTTGGAAAAGATTAATTAAACACAATCCAAGTAAAAAAAACGCAGCAACAAAATGAGAAATTACACTAAATCGGAATGAAATGCGACTTTGAAGCCGACTGACCCGTCAAGGACCAAAAGGGAGGCACCACTTCAGCTTTCGGGACTTAGAAGAGGTCAGCAGGCAGATGGGAATGGAAATGGGCCAGCGGTGAGCTCATTTTAATCTGTCTCATACAGCTGATCCAGTCATAACACTCGCCTTGTTTACACTGAAACACACGCGCATCCTCGGCATACATACAAGCGCCCACGCACAGGCACGGGTCACCGCAGCTGATAATGGTGGAGGTAACGAGACTTAACATTCAATAATTCACTTTTAATAACACCAAACTGCACCGGCCTTTAGCCTTCGCTTTACTTGACTCGAGGTTTGAGGCTATTTGCATCGAGTGAGGAGAACAATGGGATGGGGGAAAAAATGGCATAAATTGGTTTTACTTGGACGCTTTTAATATCTGTTCCATTACAGAGAGTCCACACTTTTGCACTCCACTCAGTCAGATGATTGATCACATTGCTCTTACTTCTTAGGGATTTTTTTTTGTTAATGCTCAAAGTTATTTAACTTTGGCCTGAAATAATATTATTTTTTTCTCAAATCCAATCCTCTTTAAGATTTCCATGCTAATCAGAAAAGTTAATATTTGAATTGCTACATGCAACGGTCAGCAGAATGGAGTGTGGGACTAGAAATTCAGCTTTCCATGAAATTATGGAGAATCTCAAACAAAACGTACAATTTAAAATAAAAATAACTGAGCTTCTGTTGAGAGTAGTGTTTGTTGTGTATATTTTGCCATTCTTCATCAGGGAGCCATCTGGCCACTGGGCTGATTGGATGGTGTAAAAAAGAACGGAGGAAGGGGGGGATTTGGCTGGGTCATTATCTTAGGGAAAGGGTCAGAGGTCGTGGCCTTTGGACAACACATGTCAAAGCCCGGCTCACACACCTCACATCTTCTGAATGGGAGAGTCTGCAGCGTCCTCTCTGCAATCTGCCCTCATCTGCACATTAGGCAAACAGCTATCTGACCACATGGTGCATCTGATGCAAAACAGAGGATCAAAACAGCTTGCTGCTCTCGTTCCCTCCTCTGACGCAGCTTCTCTCGCTCGTTTTATGAGTTTGCTGCTAAATTAAAGAAAAACTTCGGCACACCAGTAAYAATCCTCGGTTCTGGCAGCTCCAAAAACTGCACCAGCCTCCTCTTTCACTACACGGGGAGGGAGTCTAGACAGATGATCCAGGCAGACGAGGTAACCTGTCTCTTATTAATAAAACACTCTGACATTAGAGAGGCTGTGGCAGACCGATAACATTGTGTCTTCATTTCATGGGTAAGCTGAGCCAAGCGCAGCCAGCCCGTCCCGCTCCGGCCTTTCAGCAGCTTGGCCTGTCAGGCTGATGTATGGGATAGTGCTGGTGTGCAGCTCCCAGAGGACCAGGGCCTGTCTGCTAACTGGGACACGGCTGACAGTGAACCACAGCAAACACACACTGCCCCCTCCGCCACGCTTGCCTCCATGATGCCGAGGCCCTCTGTGTGCAGTTCATCAAAAACTGTCAACACACATCTCAGCATTTTGAGGAAATACATAACTCACAGGTGATACATCAAGACCTGCTGACTGCTTTAGGGGAGATATCAACCACAGGTTGCTGTTGTTGTTTTTCCTTTCAGCTGCTCCCTTCCGCAAACTCGCATAAAAGATTTGGGAATTGTTTTACACTGGGCGCCCTTCCTGCATGACGCAACCTGGGCTCAAACCTGCAGCCTCAAATTACAGGATTTCAGCGCTGACCACTGAGTAACTGCGGCCCTAAGATGTCATAGGTGCAAAACTAAAAACAGTACACACACAATCCCATTTCTGAAACAGTTATGTGCTGTGTAAAATTTGAATAGATACAGAATTATTTTGAAATCCTAAAACCGCAATTTTTTTCCCATTGAGAGACATTTTTGCATCTAATCAGGTTAACTGGAGATATTTCAGTGAGAGGTTGACTTTCTCAGAAGTAAAGATGGGCAGAGGTTCACCAGTCTGCAAAAAAAAAACAGCATCTACAAACAGTGGAACAATTTAAAAATACTGTTTCTGTGAATCAGGGATGAGCAACTGGTGGTCCACGGGCCATATTTGGCCCGATGGTGACTTCCGTCAGGGCCCCCCAATGAGACGCACTGTTTTTTTATTATCTGTTCACGGAATGTCAAGGTGTCAAGACTGCTTAGAAACACTATCTGCCATGAAGAATTTGAATATAAGTTGCCACTATTACACGTTGCACAATGCTAAATATGAGAAGTTTACTGAAGCTGCAAGTACATAAACAGTCAATTTTTACCCAACCACAACCACATAGGAGTCTGCACTCAAAGCATCTTATGTTGCTACACTTCAGCTTGCTAAAGTGTTTATTTTTTGTTTGCTTAAAACATTTTGTATTTGTATCAAGCAAAAGTACAATTGTTACACATGCATTTGAGTTTACCGCACTGTATGTTGGTTTAATACACATCTTTTTGAATGGCAGTTTTATTACATTTGGGTGAGTGTGCAGCGCTATGTGGCCCTCAGGTAATGTCAACAAAAAATGTGGCCCCTTCCATCACTTAAGCTGCCCATCCCTGCTGTAAATTATGAGAAATTTAAAGTCTTCCCAATTTTCTATTGAGGACATTTTTTAAATATTCTATTTTTAGACATTTTTGGCAGCCCATTCAGCCTCTTTCAAAGGCACATTTTATAACCAGTCCTCTAAATGACCTGTTGCCAATTAACCTAATTCATTGCAAAATGCTCATCCAGCTGTTTTATACCACTTACACCTTTTTATTGTCCCTTTCCCTTGTTTTTGCGATGTGTTGCTGCCATCAAATAAAAAAATAAATAAAAATGTGTTTGTTTACTATATTCCAATGTGAGAAAAATGTAAACCATTGCATTCTGTTTTCTTATTCGTTGTACACAATGTCCCAACTTTTTCTTAAATGCAAACATGTTTTCTCAGCTGTCAAGAGTCAGAAACATCCGTTTAATGGAAAAATATAAATCATCTTTCAGGACCCTCAAAACATAATATCAGTAGTCATGTTTTTTCTTTCCTTTTTTATTTTTAAACCAAGCATTGAGCTTCCCCTGTGTGAGACATCTCTTGGATCTGCCTCAGACTGGAGCAGTGCCACGGTGATGCATTCAGACAAGTCCACTCAGTATCAGAGTCCCACAGAACAGCTGCTCTGTGACGAAGAATCAGCCACCTCGTCTCTTGGCCACAAACATCTCTGACCCACGCAAAGACCCACACAACCCCCACCACCCTCTTCTCTCTTTTTATTTCACACACGCACGCACGCACGCACGCACACACACACACACACACACACACACACACACACACACNGAAGCTTATGGACACAGATCCAACACATCTATATAAAACTTTGGATGTGCAATAAAACAACTTGTAAAACTTGATGGGCACAACGTACAAGGGCCCACACACACACACACACACACACACACACACACACACACACATTCTGAACCACATCAGATCCTCTCCCCCACCTTGTGACACTGATCCCCCCCATCCTCCCTGATTACACTCATAAAGTATATCACTGAGAGTCCACTCATTATAATGCAGATGACCTTGGGTTACCCTGAGGAGAGAGAGGGGGGTGGGTTTGGATGATAGAATGGATCCTTTAGGGGAGGGGGTTTGGGGATCAAGCCTTCTTTTGACATATGACAGTGTGAGGTGAGCTGAGGTGCTTTATGGTGGGCAGAGACTAAACTAATTCAGGGAAATCTGGAATAAGGACTGTAATAAAGAAGGGTGAATCACTTCAGATGGAAGAGTGTTCTCCCCCAAAACAACCAAATCACCTCTCAACTCAAACAGACAATAAACTCGACTTACTCTGCATGATTTACTGGACACTTTCCCCATCAGGTCAAATTTTCCCTTTAACTCTTTGAGCAGCTGCTCCAGGTGACTTTTCTCCTCCTTGTCGGTGTAGTCCGGGTCCAGGAGCACATAGGCCCGCCAGTTGGCGGAGTCGAAGCCCCAGTGGACTGTCCGGTTCTCCAGCCTCTTGTGACTGTGGACCACAAACTTGTGAGGGGGGAACATGAGTCTGCAGTCCATGCACTGGATGCAGGCGGCGGCCGGAGCGGCGTACAGCTCCGGGACGAACAGGCCCTTGCACCGGCCGAAACACTCGTGGTACACCTTGAAGCTCTTCTCGGTCCGCTCCAACTCCAGGGAGCCCAGGTCCTTGTTGCAGTGAGGGGGGTACGCGCCCCCGTAGATGAGCGCGTTGCAGAGGCGCTCCGCGTCCGTTTGCGTGATGAGCCCGCACGACGGCGCGGAGAACGGCAGGATGCCCACCACCTTCAGGATCTCCAGCTGGTCCGCCGTGCACCTGGAGCAGTAGATGTGCAGGTCGTCGCACACCGAGTTGATCTGCTGCAGGGAGAAGTCCCTCAGGACGCTGTTGAGGATCTGCGGGAGGCACAGGCGCTTCTCGCCGCCGACCACGAAGCAGGAGATGGGCTCGCGCTCCAGCACCGTCTCGCAGCGCTCCGTGGAGCGGTCGGACGGGATGAAAAGTGGCCCGGACATGACCGGGGGCGTCTGGGCGGGCAGGGAGAGCATCATCTCGGCGGATTTGACATCCTTCCCGAAGAGCGCGTCCTGCTGCTGCTGGTGCCACCGGGCGGAGAACGCCGCCGGGCCGCCGAGGGAGCGCATGGAACTCAGGTGGAACTGCTTCAGAGTTTGCTGAAGTCCGGGATGGGGCTGGAAGCCCGTGCCTTCCATGTCGCCGTGGTTTGGGAGAAGAGAGTTGACAACTCAAAACGAAAGCTGGAAGTAAGTGAATGGGTTCGGGGAGGTGCGGGGGGGCGTCCTCAGCATCCGGCGACCAGCTCGGAAAGGCGCATTTCCATGTCGGCGGAGAAGCTTCCCAGCGCGTCCATTCAGAAAACTGAAAGCTGCTGAAATCACAGGGCTCAGTTCCTGTAAACGGAAGCAAAAATAAAGTCGTCAACTCAGAGTCGGGAAACTCGTATCATCCGGCGCACAATGAGCGGGTACGAATGTTACAGCGCTCCTGCGGTTTTACGCACTCCTAATGTGCGCCCGAAATAAGCGTCGTCTGCTCAGTCTGGCGTACTCTCCGTCTGTCTCCCCGCTCAGTCAGTGTGTGTGTGAGTCTCTCCCTCTCTCTGTGTGTGTTTGTTTGTGTCTGGTTCAGTCATTGAATCCCAGCCAGGAATGTGACTGACTCCCCGGGCTGGCTCTTCCCTCAGCCAGCTGTTCCTCCCTCTGCTTCATGGCAGCTGCACAGAAAAAAAAATCCTCCTAAACCAAGGCGAGGGTGGAGCTCCTGGAAATGAAGTTGACAGTGAAAATACAAATCCAATCCCACCACTTTAAAAAGTATTCACCTGGAAAATCTGATGTTTATTTTTTATCTTTCTCTGCAGAAAGTAATGTAATAAAGTTTGAAGAAGTTAAAACAGAAAATAATACTTTTCCATTTGATGTCAAGAGAAATAGTTTGTTTTTACTTGTCACTTTAAATGCCAAGCATTACTCTRATATAAGGTTTTATTCAAAAACCCTATTTTCAAAAATAAAAAAGACATTCTTATAGTCTTCAGTGTTTGCCTGTTTTTCACAATTCAATTTAAAACCTTTATCACTTCCAAACCCTGTGTGGCTCAGCTCTGCTCCTCTGCACCCCAACAAGAACCCTTCACTCCCAGCATGCAGGTCTGTGGTCCAGAGTTTTTAGAATTAGAGGCAGGACCTTTTAGTTTTCAGTCCCTGAACTTTGGGTGCAAACAACCCCAGTGTCTTCAAACCCCAAACTAAAACACTAATTTATTTAGAAAAACTCTTATTTTAGTCAGCACTTGAAACACTGCACGTTTTTCTGGTTAGCTTTATTTATCTTTTTACCTGTTATATTTGGTTTTTTTGTAGCTATTACAATTTTATTCCAATAGTTTTACATTTTGTGTTTTGTTCGTGTTATGTGAACGATATATTTTCCCATTTTTATTGTCATTTCTAATTCTATCAAGAGATTTTTTTTAATTATCTACTTTTTATTTGACATTTATTTTATCAGATGAAATGCTTTGGGAACACCTGAGTAACACTTGCATTTTAAAAGTGCTAAATAAAGTTCCCATTAATCCCACTATTGCTTCATTTTATTCTTTTTTGAGCAGAAAATCCTGGAAACAAATGAAGAGCTGGTGTTTTGTTGCTGCACAATCTTTCGCATCAGATTTATGTAATTTGAATGTAACTTTAAACAAATAAGACTTTAATTAAAAGAAAATTTACACCACTTTGCTGGTTTCACCACAAGAAAAAAAATCTGAAAATACACAACTTCATAAAAGTTCATTAAATATTTGAGTTCAACACAACATATCATGTTTCCAATCTAAATCTTGAAAAATGAAAATTGCTCATTTGTTTGCCACTGATTTTGTAGCTGGTTCAGTTCAGAATGAACATTCATGTAAATTACAGAAATATTGTAACAAAATCCAGCAACTCTTCAGATATTTCAGCCACTTTTATGCTTAAAACATCAAAGGAAATTCATGATGTTCCTTTTGAATTATAAATGAAGTGGGAACATATTAACTTTGGAAAATTAAATGAATAAAACAGGCACCAGACTGATCACTTCAGCCTCTGGTCAGAATATATAACTCTCCCTGGATTCATGAGTGAGTGAGTAAATAAATAAATAAATAAATAAAAAAATAAAAAAATTCAGTTAAAAACAGAAATGCTGCTTAACTATTTTCTCCCTTTAATCACTTAAAATACAGACATTTTATTTTTTCTCTTAACAGTTTTATTAAAAATTTGTGTTGCTTTGGCTCATTTTCTTTAAAAGGTTGTTTATCATAGCATTATTGATTAATTTATTCCTGAGATTTCATTAAAAAAACACCTCTTTTTAGATGCAAGAAAATCTTACTCTAACTTGCACAATATTAAAGCACTAAATGGGCTATGTTAACTTGTACAGATGTAAATAAAGTAAGCAAAAAAGTACATAATAGTCCAAAATCTATTAAAAATAAGTTTTGATCGCTACCCTTTTGACCCGCTAGGGGGCAGTAAATGTAAACCTAAAACTTGATTCAAGTTTATATAAACTTTGACATATGGACATTAAAAATAATTTCAAATACTTCAACATTCAGATTTTATTTACCAAAAGTTAAAGAATAAAACATTTTTTAAAATTCCAAATAAATACAGCTAATAAATCCATGGCATGCAAATTAAGAAAAAAAATTAAACTTCAAAAGGTTGCAACACCAATTTTCTGTTTCTGCCAAATATTATAATAACTGCGCTTAGATCTAAATTGTAAAACAGGAACACTGAATAAAACACATTTAACTTAAGTTTCAAAACACAACTGATCAGAACATAAATGAAACATGTTCACCTCTATTTAGCTAAAACTGCAACACAATTTAAAAGAAATTTCAACAATTACACAATAACAAACAAGCAAAATTTCCATGACACAATAAACACTCATTTCACAAAACCTCACCAACAGTTCAGTTTTAAAATAGTTTTTCCACCTCTGCTCCTGATTGAAATCAGATTTTTTTTTTAGTTTTTTTAAGACAAGATTTTCAAATAACAAAATACTAAATCAAACAGGTTTAACCTTCAAAATAAAGGCCTAACTGCATTTTCATCACAGTATAGTTCAAATCTAATAAAACTCTTTCAAAAATCTCTCCTAAACAGGGTTTATATTTTCATGTTAAAGAAAATCTAACTTGACTTTTAAATAAAATTGAAACCTTGTTTTATTTTTGGCAAACTTTACACACAAAGTAAAACCATACTATAACTGAATAAATATGCCAATTACAAGCTTACCTGTTTAAAAAAAAGAAGAAGAGATTGATACTTTCATAATTTCATCAGGGCTCTTACTGCAGCTCTGGCATCTTATTTTCATACTGTGGGGGTGGAGTGATGGGTTCAATGGTCACTGGGTTCTGTGTGGGGCTGCGGATCTGGAGGCGGAAGTCTTTTAGGTGCAGCTTGTCCGACTTTATTCTCCTCACTCGAAGGGGTTTCAGTAAACGGCTGGCTCGGCTGGCGCTCCGTGTGGGCAGGCTGGGGGTCGGCGCGAGGCCGGCAGACTCGGCTCCGGGCTCGGTGGGGGGCTGAACAGAGGTCGGAGCTACATCGTTGAGAGGGGCGTCTTCGGTGGGGTTGTTAGGGGTGTCTCTTCCTTCATTTTCCACAGCTGCTAGGATGTCCTCRTAGGACGGCAGCTGTGAGGTGCTGTGCCTCAGGTTGCTCTGGCGGACAGGGTAGTTTTCACTGCCGACAACTTCCTCGTACGTTGGCACGTTGTACGCAGATGGGTCTATGCTTCTGGAAAGAGATGCAAGAAGTGACACTTGGTTAAAAAGCTTTGCAAACAAAAATCTGGGTAAAATCTAAATTCAAATATCCAGTTCTGCTTCATTTAAGTCTCCATCACCTCTCTGATGGATGGATGGATTTAACTTTTGACCATTTTGTTTCTTAAAAACTTGGTTAAAGCAAATGAGTGCAAAGCTTTAATGCAGAGTTTGTTCTTTAAAGGACTCTCAAATACTATTAAGGTTATTTTGGTGATGAAACACAAAGATGTGAAACTCTTTAACTTGCACAATATTTCTCCAAGATGTTACACTGAATGTTGGCTGCATTTAATCAAATATTCGAGAATTAAAAAGGTCATCACTCACGGCTCCTCCTGTCCTGCCACCCGATAGGGGGCCGCCGCTGTCGCTGGCTGGTTGTTTCTGCTAGAAGATGCTCTCTTGCTCCTCAAACCGAGACAAATGGACAACAGCAACATGACGACCCCGACTCCCACCAGCACCAGCGCCACAGACGTGGACTTGGTTCGGTCTTGTTCAGGATCAGTAGGGGCTGAAGTGGTTGAAGTAAAGTTGCCCGATGAAGTCGGCGATGTCTCCGTGTTCTGTCCTTCAGGGATCACAGTCCAGACGATCATGACGATCCCGAGAGCAACAAGTCCAATTCCGAGGGCACAGAGAGCATAGTGAGCCCCTGAACCTTGGGATTCTGAGCTGGAGGATCTGTTGTTGCCCCCACATATACTTCGACTGGAACACATGCCTGCAGGACAAACTGTTGCAGAAAACAAAACATTTAACTTTTTGAGTAACACTGAAATTGCAGGACGTTTTAATATGTATTCTATGCTGGGACAATGCAGGTCTGACAATAACACAACAACAACAACAATACTAGAACCAAAGTAAAAGTTTCAACAGGTGCGGTGTTTAGACCGCTACATTTGGTATGCTTGTTTGTCTTCGTGTCTATGGTGTATAATGATGTGATTGTGATGCTGTAATTCTGAGTGTTTATGTGCTGCAGAACAGGAACCTGCTGTAAAACAGCAATTATGCTGAGTCAGGCTTGATTTTTAATAATCTTTTCCTGTTAAATATATAAATCAAATCAATTTCTGAAGAGTGAGTGAGCAGAAAAACAAGTTCCATGTGTAAGAAAATGGGTAAATGAAAACCAGAAGTTCAAAAGGCCTAACGTGTCCAAACACGAGCTYGAGACAAAAATCTAGAAAAGAAAAAAGAAAATACACATATGGAAGTTGACAGTTGACTTCTGAGTAACGATGAAAACATCTCGCAGCGTAGTCAGCTCATACAAATTTAATCTTCAGCATTTACTTTAATCAATCACAGCAGAAACATAGMTTTAGTGTATTAAGCATGCCATATCTCATAAATAACGAGTTTTGACAGTCTAACAGTCTAACAGTAGTTTTTGAATGAACATTGGTGAAGAAGTTTCTTTTCCAGCCCCTCTCTGACGAGGAGTTCCTCARGGTTCCATTCTTGTACCAATATTATTCTTCATGCACTTCTTTGTAAGAAAATAAAAGTTTTTTTYCATAGTTATGCAGATTATACTGAGCTCTACTAAAAACTAAAGAACAACAATTGGCACTTAAAACCCTGTTTGTCTTTCAGACATTAAAACTTAGACGACTTAAACCAAGGTTTTTAATCTAACAACTGTAACTCTTGTTTGTGTCGGYTTTATTAAGTAGAACAGCTGTAAATGTCCTTCCTTTACTGTTTTATTGATTATTCTCTTTGTCTTTAATTGTACTGTGCTACTTTGTTTATTTTTCTATTATTTGATGAACATCTTGGTCAGTCACAAAAGTTTTTTTTTATATATATAAACGTGTCGGTTTTCAGCAAAGTGCAACACTTTCACTGTTTTTGTGTCTTTGCACCTGATTTAAAAAAAGAGTGTGTTAATGAATCCTATTCATACTTTTTTGCAACTTAAAAGGACTTCAGCTTGTTTTCTCTTCAGTGATTTCCTTTGTTGCATCAAAATTATTTTCAAGGAGGTCATAGCTGTGATGTGGCATTTCCAAGATAGCTGATCATGAACAGTTTCAGGAACTGACAGTCTGTGAATGAAAGACTCATGRAAATTATTTTATAAAAATGAACCTGTAAGACAACAGTAGTTGCTAAATGAGAGCATTCTTGCGTCAAAACCTTAGAAAAGCAAAACAAAAACAGTTGTTTGCCAAGCATCCAAGTTTTAAGTTTAAACTAATTGTGCACATTTCCAGGTGAGTTAATGCCCATTTTATTCAAGGGTCTCACTGCAAGGTCATGCAAGCAGTAAAAAGAAAAAAAATATTTATAAAAAAATATAAAAAACAACAAAATGGGTAGAGTATATTTCTCATTAAGTATTCACAATTTATGACTGGACGCCAACTACCAAAAGCTGAAGTGTTTAAAAATAGATTAACAACGGTGACTGCAAAAGAAGAACTGTTTTGAGTTGGGGAAGTCCAGCAATTTTAATGCGTTTTTTCACATTTACACACTGATTTTCTAACCCTAAACATCTTCTCCAAGATTCTTCCTTGTCTGATTCAGCCATATCGGTTTAGGCCAGCCTGATCCAGGTCACTCAAGCAGAAATTGATTAATTTCATTC